TTATTATATATATATATATATATATATATATATATATAAAACTTTTTTTTATATACATATAATAGAGAATACTGCTATAAATATGTAGATTTAAAGGAAAAAAGTGCAGTTTGAATTTAGCCACACGCTTTTCGAGAAAGGATCAACGATCTTCCACAAGCACCGCTTTTGCCATCAGGGCTCATGTGATGGCAAATTGTTGTGCCTGCACGTTCTGTGGAAATTGTACACCATATAAAAATGGATTAAAAGAACTTGGCGAGACCTCATTCTCTAAAATAGAATTCCCAAAATGCACAAAAAATAGAAATTATTTACTTTATTAAAAAGAGCTTTGAACTTTATTTTTTCCGTTTTTTAATAAATTAACGTTGATTTTGCTTTTTTTTCTTTTTTTACAAATGGTTAGATGAATATGATTCAATTTTTGCGGAAAATAGAAAAGCGTTGATTATAATTAGACGCTTATGAAATTTCTGCGAAATAAACTTACTACAATATGTATTTTAATTCTTACAATGATTAAACACTATGTTGTAATTTAGTTGAAAATCAAAGAGTTAATAAGAAAATAAAAAAAAAGTTAAAAATTGCGTACATTGTTCGAAAATTAAAAATTCTTATTAATTTCTGTTGATCTAAATCTACTTTTGTAGTCATTATTAGGATAATAAACTTAGAATTCCATGCTGCAATATCATCGCATTGTGACTTCACTAAGTCTTTTGCGAACGATACTTATCACTCGTGAACGTGGCGTTCTCCCGGTAATCCGTTTGCGCTTGTCAGAGCAACAGACGTCGCTTTTGTTTCTAGAGAGACATTTAGAGATTATTTCATCTCGCGTAGCAAAGTAGCGTCGAGAGCTAAGAACATTTTTCGAATTATTATATTATTCTGCATTATACCAGCATCTGTTCTGACGGAAATTCTCGAGGTGGAAACCCGATTCTTGTGATTAATTTGAGTTTCAGATTAACGACGGATACACGACGCTCTCGATCTCGTTAATGTTTGATGCAGAAATGGCGAGAGAGAGAGAGAGAGAGAGAGGAGGAGGGGGAGGGGGAGGGAGGAGAGAGAGAGAGAGA